GGTGTAAGAGGAGTGAAACTATCCTGGTCAACAGGTCTAACCTACATCTATTGTCTTGCTTTCTTTTAAACACTCTAAACCCAATAAAGACTGCCTATATACAGTGGGAGAGGTAGGATCTAACTCGGATAAGATATAGGCATTGTAATTTGCTTTACAAGCCTATAACTCAGTATCAATGTGCCCTATTATATAGTAGTGAGTGCATAGAGCTAATGATACAACAAGATGAAGCAACAAGGCCAAGCAGAAAATTTGTCTTGTAATGGAGATACCATTATTTTATTATTGTTAGTCAATAATGCAATAATATGTAAAAAAGTTATTCAGCATGTCATTGCACTATTGGTCGGGAATAGCAGAAACTGTTATTCCTGTTCATGAAAGAGTCTCTCAAGGCCAAGAGCTTCAGCCCCCTACCTATCCTATTTATTATTTTGTTAGCATAATAAAATAAAGGATCATAGGGTAAAATACAATAAAATAAAAAAGCTCAGACACTTGGAAGGAAACCCATCTGACCCTCCATTTGCTATCCGACGGTTAGGATCGTTTTATAGATGTATAGGTAAGTGTATAACAACTAATGGAGAAAAGAGACTATACTATACTCTGGAGTGATTGGAGGGGCAACAAAAACAAATCAAAATAAAGTAGGGTGAAACCAAAAGAAACAGAGGCTCCTCTGAGAGAGAGAGAGAGAGAGAGAGAGAAACTGAGAGACTCTCAGAGCTTTGAGTGTGGAGATAACAAAGAAAGCGCCGATTTTTTATTTCTTGGCCTTTCAGAGACAAAAACCAACATACACTCGTGTTCAGTTTTTCTTCTTCTCGTTATTCTGGAGAAAATTTGAGGGCAAATTTCTTCACTCTTTTCTGTCTCTGCTGCTGGCCTACTGCTCTACTACTATCACTATGTAATTAAGTTTTCTCCTTCAAATCTCTCCTCTCTTTTTTATTGTTTAACTTTCATGGTCTGTTTGCTTCCGAAGAAAAAGAGAAACAAACCCAGAGATTCAATGGAATTAGGATTAACTGGTCCTAAATCCAATTGGGTTCCTTGCTTTCTTTTCTTTTATACTTTCTCAACAACCAAACAGAGCAGAGGGTTACTCTGATATTGTTGTCGATCTAATTCGTTTTTGGGTCATCGTAAATCCTCTGAAAATGCAGGGTTGCCTGAGATAAATTGCATTCATTTCAACAGTTACCTCCTTAGATCTTGAGGTCAGTTTTCAGTTCTCTACATGTTGGGGAAATTTTCTTCCACTTTGTTTTATTTTCTCGCGCTTTCTATTGTTTTTTAAGTAAAATTTCAAATGGGTAATCTCTTCAGAAATGGAAAAAGAAGGGAAAAGCCAAAGAGAGTCTAAAGCTACAGAGTCAGACTTTGTATTGCAATGGGGGAACAGAAAGAGGCTTAGATGTGCGAAGGTGAAGAAAGACCAAAGCTTGAGCAACACCAAATCGTCAGACTGTTTGAGGAAGAAGAAGATCGCTTCTCGTGCCGAGAAAGAGTCTCCCGCTCCACTACCCCAGCGTATCGACAAGTAAGAAACATTAATGCTTTAATTGAAATAAGAAACAAATATGCTAACTTTCCAAAGCTTGAACTATGCAAGAAATTTGATGATTGGGATTGGTTTGAAGCAGCTTTTGTTGAACTAAGAACGTGTATGTTATCTTCTATTTTTCTTTTCTCTGAATTTAGAAATTTAATGGGGTTTAGCAAAAGAAAAAAAGAGTTTCATGCTTTGAAAGGTCCTTCCCAAAAATAAATAAATGAGAAACATTGTTCAATCCTAGAATCATATGGGACTTGTGTAGTTGGTGTTTTTGCTGATACTATTAGATCCGGGTTTCAATACTTTATTTTCACACAATTCTCAACCAGACAGACTATTTGTGAAGGGAATAGAGCCAACATTGTTCCAAGCGGTTATGTTTTGATTGCAGGAATTCAGCTTCGCCGATGAATAGTGGGAAGTTATTTGTTACTTCACCGGAGAAGGAAGATCGGTATTACACAACAAGGGGTTCAATAGGCTTGGATGATAATGGGAAGGTGTTAGGATTAGATTATCCTGGTCATGCAAGGGATGACAAAGGAGGCCATGTGTGGCCAAGATTGTTTCTATCATTGTCTAGTAAAGAAAAGGAAGAGGATTTCATGGCTATGAAAGGGTGTAAGCTACCTCAAAGGCCCAAGAAAAGAGCAAAGCTGCTCCAAAAAAGCTTACTTGTAAGTTGTTCATGAGAGAGAGAGAGAGAGAGTTAGTGATGTGGGTGTGACTTATTCTCACTTTTGTGTGCAGTTGGTAATGCCAGGTGTATGGTTATCAGATTTGTGCCAGGAGAGGTATGAAGTGAGGGAGAAGAAGGCTTCAAAGAAGGTATTCTGTCTCTCTTATGCAAAATTTAGTTAATTGCTAACTTCTTTGTTCTATCCTGAATGCTTGGCTTGGCTCTGTTTGGTTGCTGGGATGAGAAGAAATTTGGTTTTGAAATCTCAAATGACTTTAAATGTTGGGGACCTGAGAGAACTGTCCTCAAAATTGTGTATCAAATTGAAATGTTATGTGTTCGTTTACCTTTTCCGTTTAGTTTCCTAGCAGCCAAAGAGAGCCATAGTTCTGTTGCGTTAACTATGCAAACCTGTAAGAAGGGTATGTGATTGGGTTACCATTATGATGCAGAGACCCAGAGGATTGAAGGCCATGGGTAGTATGGATAGTGATTCAGACTGAGAGAGAGACATAAGAACAAGGGCAGAAGATACAGTCTTTTTTGGATAGTTATAGGACTGGAGTAGGCAACTAGGGACAGAGATCAAAGCCGGGAAAAAGAAGTTAGAAATGGTGTAATCTCTGTACCCTAATCCCTTGGTTGTCTATGTATGATTGCTTTGGCATTTTTGAGAGTTGGAAAATAAATTTCATCATCTTCCCTAGTTCCATGATCGCCTCTTTTCCTTTTAAAAAAAAATGTATCTATTTATCCTCTTCATTTCCGAGAACTGCAAGCTTGTAAAGTGCATTGCAGCTTGCGTAGTTGACAACTTATCATGGTCACATTAACTTCTGGTAATCAGTTGATCTGTTTGCTATAAGTAATGGTTGTATTGTTACCAAAGCCACTTAAAACACATGCAAAACCCAAACATGCCAAGAAAGCTTAAACCGTTCTGGCGAAAATATTACCAAGCAACCATTCTATTTGTTTTGCTATGCTCACATTCGATTCCAACGATTCCATAGTTGCCTTGTGGTAAGATATAATACGTACTAACTTCCAAGGGCTTTATGATACGTATAAAGATTCTTGTTCCTTGGATTGGATATTTAAAGGGGCATGCTGCTATTCTTTCTGCAGAAGAATGAGCCTGCAACTCCTCATTTCTTAAGTGATCTCTCAATTTCATGACATCTGCTCTGAGGAGCACAAAATGTCCTGCCCCATCACGCATAATGGTGCGATCTCCAACCAAAAGAGCAGCGGAGCTTAATACATCTTTGGTAATGATATATGGTAGAATAGTACACAAACCTTGAGAGTCAAGCAGGGGCGAGAGAAAGCAAACCCAAAAGCTACAACAAGAGTAATTGCTGACACAGAGGCACCAGCAAATGGTGGAAAAAATTTCAAACTCGCTACGACACCCCAGCCCTCAGTTGCCAATGCAATCCCATGAAGCACAAGAAATGCCGCACTATTATGGAATACAAATCCCAAATATCAGATACAAACACACATGAAAAATCAAACTAAACTGCATGCATATCAAATATCGACACCGAAACAAGGAGATAATGAATACACATTATTTAACAAACCTGACATTCTTTCTACAATCTGCATAAGCATCATAAACAGACAGGGAGAACTCTCGGAGAATAAACAACAATAGGAGGTGAAAGAAGACCCTGCACCAAACATCACGTAGCACAAAATCAAGAAGCTGCAGAACTAGTACAGACAAGAAGGAATCAAATATTAGTTTGAGCATCTAAAATTTGATTCAAATATTTTGTATTCAACTCACAGTCAATGCTCATGCTCTCCCAGTATGCATGCTCATGTAAAGAAATGCCACCCCAATCTGTTGCAATGCCAAAAGAAGCATTTTAGAGAGCTGCCTCTGCCTCTGAAATATAAAACAATCGAGGGCAAGAAAGTAGTCTCTCTTGCCGTCCAAGGTTTAACTACAACAATAACAGCTGATATGGCCCCAAGAAGAAGAAGAAGACCAAAGATATAAACAACCCGAGAAAGTCTCCAATCATCATCCTTCCTGGAAAAACAAAATCCATAGCATTTTAGAATCTTAGTGAGCATCCATTACTCCACATAGCCATTGACCATGGACAGAAACGGAATAGCGCATCTCTGTCTTGGCGGTAGATACGACAAACATATTTTAACAGTATACTGTTTAAATATTTGATTATATTTTAATAGTATTGCCATGCGGCTATACTCTTTAAATATTCGATTATATTTTAACAATATCGCCGCACGGCTGTAAATATTCGATTATATTTTAAAGGGTTATTCGCAGCAATGGTCCCTCAACTATACCTCAAGTTACACTTTAGTCACTCAACTCAAATATTAGTTGCAAAGGTCACTCAATTATGTGTTTTGTTCCACCGTTAGTCCTACCGTCAAGTTTGTTACTTTTTCTGTTTAAAATGATGACGTGGCAAGCATCTCTTAGATTATTGATGGGCAAATGTGACTTTTCAGTTAAGATCATGGACAGAAACGGAATAGCGCATCTCTGTCTTGGGGGTAGATACGACAAACATATTTTAACAGTATACTGTTTAAATATTTGATTATATTTTAATAGTATTGCCATGCGGCTATACTCTTTAAATATTCGATTATATTTTAACAATATCGCCGCACGGCTGTAAATATTCGATTATATTTTAAAGGGTTATTCGCAGCAATGGTCCCTCAACTATACCTCAAGTTACACTTTAGTCACTCAACTCAAATATTAGTTGCAAAGGTCACTCAATTATGTGTTTTGTTGCACCGTTAGTCCTACCGTCAAGTTTGTTACTTTTTCTGTTTAAAATGATGACGTGGCAAGCATCTCTTAGATTATTGATGGGCAAATGTGACTTTTCAGTTAAGATTATTTGTAGCAATGATTCCTCAACTATACTCGGAGTTACATTTTGGTCACTCAATTAGGTGTTGTGTTGCACCATTAGTCCCTACCTTTAGAGAAACTTGACAAAAGGACTAACGGTGCAACAAAACACCTAATTAAGTGACCTCTACAACTAATAATTGAATTGAGTGACCAAACTATAAATATGGATATAGTTGAGGGACCATTGCTGCGAATAACCCTATTTTAAACGTATAGCCGCCAGGCTATACTCTTTAAATATTCCAATATATTTAAAACGTATAGCCGCACGGCTATACCGTTAAAATATTTGAATACATTTAAATAGTATAGCCGCGCGGCTATACTGTTTAAATATTTTATTTCCTTCTCCCTACATTCGAGTGTGATTGAGTAGTAATTTATGCATGCTAATAGTAATATATATATATCAAAACGAAATAATATAACTTGCATTACATTGGATTGAAATGAAATGAAGCTGGATAATGTTCATGTTGAAATAATTAAATATTTTGTACACTTGACCCATGGTTCCAATCCAATTACATGGCACCTCAAAACTGCAGCTGAAACAAGAAAGAATCCTAGCTACATTTGCTACCTTATATCTCCCTCGAACTAAATTTTCCTATTTCTTTCCTATTTTCCTTCTCATTTACAAGATCATAACTATATTCATTCCATGCAAAACTATCAATTGTATGTACAAATACAATTACAGAAACTCCGAAGGCCCTTTTCCACGCTGGCAGACGCAAATGATATACAGAAAAGCCAACGGGGGGAACGTCTCACATCAGTGCATGTATCTGAAAAGCACTTCTTTACTCAGTTCTTGGTCACTGAAAAGTTCATCCGACTCTTCGTGCACTGAGCTTGTACTAATCTTTGCATTTGCAGCTGTGAGTGAATCACTCAACACCATACGTGCCCTGTGCCCGCCCTGCTCAGGGTCAAGTCCTAATCAATTAGTCACCAATGTCCAATATAGATGCATTAATTACAAGAAGATATTTAATTGATAAATGCATTAACAATGTTATGTTTAGTATGCCAAACAATATTATAGGGAAACCGTAAGCTAGATATGCTAATCAATGTTCATTCTAGAAAATGCCACGTTCTGTAGATTAACACTAGTAGAATGTACAGGAGAATCTTAAGTTCAACAAATTAATGCAGGTTTACTTACAATAACACAATGGTGGAACACTTTGAAAAAGAAAAAAAAAAGGTAAGTTAATACACTGTAAATAGAGCCACAGACTACTCAGCACTAAATCCTATCTATCCACCCAGGCTTTTTTCGAAGAAGTGGCCTTTTCTTTTAAACACCTCAAGCAATAGAGTTTCAGCATATTACAACGTAAGTTAGTGCTACACATTTGTGGTCAGTGAAGTTTGTATGCATTAATATACAATCATTTAACGCAAATTTACACCATCCATATAGGAAAATTATAAATAACCGATTTCCCCTACCAATACCATAATCCCATTCAGGAGAATAGGAAAGGAAAACATATACGAAAGAGGATTGACTACTGCATATAACTAGAAACAGACAGAAACTTACCTTGTCATCTTGTTTTCTAATTTGTGGTCACTGCAACCTGCCAGCAGACATACACAGTCCCTGTTCAGCCCAAGCGATTCAACATTTTTGCATATGTGCTCTCAGACCAAAGGAGAAAAGAACAACTGAAGAGCCACCACGGCATACTACAAGGCTTCCAAGGTTATTGATGCTTTTGTGAAAACAGAAAGAACAAATGGTGCTTCTTCCCCCGGGTGTATAGTTGTAGGCACTATTGTGTAACCTTTTGGATCTGGATCCAAAACCATTTCACAAGATATTTCTCGAGAATTGACATAATCTGTCCCACCAACTGATTCATGTAGGTATATATTGTAAGCAGCACGACGGCCTCGAGTTTTTAGTATCCTCATCCCAATGTAGAACATCATTGAATCATGACTGGATTGATAGTTTCTAAAACCAGCCACTGTTCTTGAGAAGCTCACGCCCTAAGCATAGACCATGTGATAAAAAAAGTCAATGAAATCCATTAATAAAAGATAGTTAGTTGTGCATATATATATATATATAGGGTCCAATTTTGAAGATACCTGTGTCAATGTAATGAATACATGAATTGGAAGTGCGGCATCTGGTCCAGTGGCCCTCAATCGGAACTGTGGATTTTGATGCCATGTTTCATAATCTTGGCAGCCACCAGCACTATAACCCCGCCATTGACCATGGACAGAATAGCGCATCTCTGGGGGGTAGATACGACAAACATATATTGATCGAAAATGAATTTGAAAGTCTTGCCAGGACATCCAGAATATACCATCCTTTGACTGTTGAGAGAGAATTATGAAAAACAAAGTCAGGACACACCGATTAGCTCTAATTGAATGGCAATAAATAGGCCATCCATGGTGTAGTGAATCTGAGGTGGTCACTACTCCACCAAAAGTTTTGAAAAGGTGGATTCACATGTATGATGTTGGAAAGTGAAATACAGAACACAACCTGAGGAACATGCTTCAGCTTGTGCTTCATCCTATCTGTCCATTCAGGTGATGAGTCAGACCAAGGGCCATTCCACTCAACTTCATTTGCCCATGGATTCCGAATCTGAATAAGCTTGTGACCATCCACCTCTCTCACCTGGGTTACAAAATTTAGTAAGTGTGACCATCTTAAGCCAAGTTTCATTTGCTTCATATAATAAGGCATGCCTAAGACAAGGTGGCATTCCAACGCACCTGCAATAATGAGTAGGCATGACCTTG